ATCTGCGCACGCGCGCGCAAGAGAGAGAGAGAGAGAGAGAGAGAGAGAGAGAGAGAGAGAGAGAGAGAGAGAGAGAGAGAGAGAGAGAGAGCAAACAAATAGCCCTTTAACATTGATCAGAGAACCCCTGCGGGTAATCCAAGAGGCCCCTCCAGATAATTCGCAAGGGCCTCCTGGCCATGAAAGAGGTAGTGCTCAGATACACAGCAGGCTATATATGGTGTAGATAAGGTCCATGTTCGAGCAGTTATGGGACCGCTGAGCACGTGATTTTCTGGCCAGTAGCAGGGGAACTCACCACGTGATTTTCAGGGCTTCCCTCCACTACTCACCAAATTTGCAAAACTAAATGAATCTTCTGCTAGAACATGGAACCATACGCTGCCATCTGTTTTTGTCTTTTGTGCAAGTGGTGACTAGTGGAGCCAGGCCCTTAGGGCCACTGCTCGTAGGAAAAGGAAAACAAAAGAAAGAAAGAGAGAGCTTCGGTAGTAAGTAGTTGTGAGTTGTAACCCATAACTGCCGGAACACAGACCTGAATTCGGATCGAGTAGATATATATCGCTGGCCTGCTCGTCACTCACCCGAAGTTCGATGAAGGTTGCGGAGACGTCGGGACCCCTGCCGAATCTCTGCTGGGGGCCTGTCGAAAAAAAGACTATATTCAATGAGGAATACGTTCTTGGCACCATTTTTTTTTTTTTTTTCTCTGCCCTTCAAATTTTTAGAAGTGAGGGGCACGTTTGCCTATCTCAGCCAGCCCTTTCGGAATTTGCGCTGCATCCTGTGTGCGCGTGCGCTATGCGCCACACATGCGGAACTCGCGTGCATGCGATGCGCCGCAGGTATGCTTTCATCGCATTGATTCTGTGTCGATTGATTGTTTGATTGATTGGTTGATTAGTCGGTTGACTGATTGGTCGATTTGTTACTTGATTGGCTGGTTTGTTAATTGGATGATGGGTCAATTGATTAGTTGATTGCCACGTGGAGTGATTTGTTGATTGACACGTGGATTGATTGGTTGATGGATTGATTGAGTGAGTTAGCTCACATCAGAGAGCTGACATAAGAGAGACACATTGATTTTTTTTTTTACGTTTAATTTATCAATGGATGCTTTTTTTTTTTTTTTTGCGTTGTCCTTGCAGGGTTGAACAGGTATATCAATTCTTCTCTTTTTCTACAAAGAAAAAAAGATAAAAAGATGAAGTCCAGGGATCATCTCGTCAGGACTCGCCTGCGGAGGACACTTGGAGCGAATGCTGCGAAGAAAGGGACAGTGAAGCTGGCACCACTGATTCGGAAAAGAATAGACAGGGGCAGAGAACTCAGAGGAGGAGGAGGAGCAGGAGAGGGAGGAGGGAGAGGAGGGGGAGGAGGATGTGGAGGAAAGAGAGCGAGCAAGGTCCATGTGGTTGGTGGCCCAGTGGGGAAGCCCAAGCCGTTGATTGGAATGTGAGTTTTTTCAATCCTCTTGGGAACGCTTGGCATCTAGAGAGATATCAGCATTAAAAAGAAAAAAAAGAAAAAAAAGAAAAAAAAAAGAAGATAATTCAGGTTATGAGCACGTAGGTATCTATGAGGGTTCGGCCTCCTGATGAGTATGTCTGTGTAACAGCCCCTTTTTTCTTGTCCTGTTGTGCCTTTCTGCCTACGGTTCACCAGGCAGTTCTCAATGACCATTTATATACATGTGTTTATCGGCCGAAACAGTTTGTCACAGCCCCTTGTTTGTTGTCATCTTCTCTCTCTCTGCCTACGGTTTACCGGGCAGTTCTGTTTGTGACGATATATGTATATAACGATACATACTGTTTGACGATAGTCACAAAGTTATCAGAGTGCAAAAGTGAAAAAAAAAAAAAAGGAATTAAAAAA